AGCAGCTTTAAACAGTTAGAGTGAGAATTCAAAAGAAAGGGATGAAAGCCAGACTGAAGAGCTCATTTACCCTCTACCCTGGCAACTGCTGCAGGCAACACCAGGTACCCTGCGCTCTGCAGCCCTCCACAGCTACCTGGGGTGGCTTTCAGAAAGTCTTTTTCAAAAAAAAAAGAGTTGATTTTAGAGCCTCATGCAGAAATCAGAAACCTCCAGCAGCAGCAGCAGCAGCTGCCTGCCTTTTCTCAGATGGAAACCCATCCAGCGACCCCTTCAATGCCGGGGCTCAGCACTTTGAGCTGAGAGGCTCTGCAGGAGGAAGGAGGGACAGGCAGCCGGATGGACGTCGCTGCTGGGAATTCAGAAGGGAGCCTGACTCACCCGCCTCTCTGCTCTTAATCCCCGTCCCAGAGCAGCCCCACATCTGACAGCACCCCTGCTCACCCTCGCCGTCTCGGGCAGCTGCTCCCAGCCCCACATGCCGGCCGTGCTCCAGCCGCAGCCAAATTCCCACTCCAGCCAGGAGCAGGATAATGGAAAAGGGACAGATAAACCTACAATATCAGCCAAGAACACTGTGCTTGGGGCTCCCAAAATCAGGCGTTTTATCTTGCCCTGTAACACACTGCCTGGGAGCCCTCTGGACCGGGGTGGGAAAAGAGGCCCACGTGCAGATACACGTCTGCACAAAGAGCTCGTGGGCAGCAAGTGTGAACCAGCCAGCATCATGCCAGCGGCTCCCGACACCCCGATACCATCAGAGGTACTTACAGGGAAAGCACGCTGCTGCTCTGCTTCAAGCCACTTGCCCTGCCAACATTAAGATGACCCCACCATCAGCCCCTCCTGCCCGGCGGTGGATCTCTAACCAATCCTCCCCACCTAACAACGTTCACTGGAGGCACTCGGGATAAATCCAACTTGGACGTCAAGTTTTTTCAGACACCAAACTCACTCCTGGGCTCAGGCTACCTGGACCAAGCCCAGGGGACCGTGTAGGTTCTCCTGGTTCTGCCGGTCTCGTAGGAAATGGTTCAAACTCTCTCAGCACTTGAAGGGCCGTCCTAGCAGCAACCCATGAGCTGCTCTGCCAGTATCGACATGCTTTTGCAGCCAGAAGTTTTACAAAACTGAGCCCTGGGAGGGAGCAGAGCGGACGGAACCTGACACTGAGGAAGCTACCAGCCAAAAGCTGCAAGGAGTAGAGAAGCTAAAGGCAAAGCTGGCAAATTAATTGAGTTCTTTTATGCGAAGTGCAAGAGATTATTTTCATTGCATTTCTCCCAACTTCATTAAAAAGAGCAAAAGCCCATGGGCTTTTTTTTTTCTTTTAGGTGCTGTTGAACATTTCCGAGGTAAGGTTTTAAATGAAGACTAATGTATTACCATCCAGGCACTTAACAACAATGGAAGCACACAGGATCCCCAGGCGAGCATTAATCTGGACACCGAAAGGAAAGAAAAAGGTACCGAACAACTGAAGACATCCCAACAATGAGCAATGTAGACATATGCAACACAGGGGCCAAGTGGGAACACGCACAGGGAAACTAAACTTTGAGAGAAACTCCTGCCGCATCCACCATCAGACTGTGAGAAGAACTGAAACAAGATTGTTCAGTGAATCATCCTAAATGTTGAGTACCTCAGACACAGGAACTTCATTTTGAACACTGAAATGAAGCTTAGGGGCTGCTAAACACCTATTGTCTATCACCATGAAATTACTTCAGCCTGCGTCCAGCTCTTCAACATCAACTCTGAGCTGACAGTGTGGTTTGTAAGTTATAAATCCACTCGGAGCAAGAGCTTGTAACTCACAGTAAAAACACAGACACCAAGGAAACTGCTGCATTTCAGCAAGAAGAGCTGCATGGAAGAGTTTTGACTTAGTTGTTGGATTTTTTTTTTTTTTTAATTAGAAAAAGACAATCTTTGACAAATTGCTTCTCTTGCCCAGATTTCAGGGTCTGCTTTGCAGCCTGCCTGCTGCAGCACTTCCACGTTTTCAGCAGACTTCCCCAGGGCTGAAAGCATCGCAAGGGGCCAGGGACAGAGAAGGAGAAGCAGTACCTGCTTTGCTCCCTGCAGCTTTTAAGTTGTCGCTGTAAAACAACAGCACCTCACCACTCCTTGGGAAGTTACACATCCCTTTTCCTATGGCAGCTGCCACAACCTGAGAAGCAAATGCCAAAACCCTTAACAGCAGGGAAAAACTCAGGATTTTCTACGTGACCACACGGGTGACGTTACCGATTTCACCAACAATTTTTTAAGCACAGTCTGCAAAAGAGCAGACAGAAAAGATGAGTTTTATGAATCGGCAGGAGACCGAAACGAGCCGGGTTGTCCTCTGAGAACAAGGGGAGTGCTCAGGTGGGTCAGGGAGAGCAGAGGACCGAGAGGAAGAAAAATCCAGAAGAAGAGCAAGGTTAAGGGCAAGTTTGAAAGCATGAAAGGAACAGAAAGCCTGTGTGTCGGCCAGCTCTGGGACAGCAGGAGAAGAAAGACCTTCCGTGCTGGAAGCACGTGCCCCCACGGCCCATGTCCCATCCCAGGGAGGTGGCCACCCCTGCCCCGGGCAGGAGGCCAGCAATGCCCACACCCACCTCAGCAGCTGGCTTGCAGGAATCCGAAAAGGCAGACCAGTATTTTGTGCCCCTGGGCTGACGCAGGTGTCTCCACCCCTTCGGTTGGAAGGACATTTCCAGTTAACTGAAACTTCGGATCATGAAAGCCAGCGGCCCAAACGGGTCAAGTCACGGCCTTCAGAGCAAAGCTTTCTGCTGGGCGGGGGACTCGGCCACGCCGCTGCTCTGACCCAGGTTGGTGGCACATCACCCACAAGCAACAAGGGCAAGGACCGCACAGAGGAGAGACACCAACCGCAACGCTCAGCGGAAGATACCTTTTCAACCCCAAACTCAACAAATCTTGTCTAGATGAGGATCCACGGCCGCGTTAATCACTCCCCCAGCACAACTCCCAGTCCTACTTTGGCTGAACTCCAACTCACGGCCGGTAACCCAGGCAGAGCCACGCACGGCACCTCCATCCGATGGTTCAGGCCACTTCACGAGGCCACCGTTAAAATCCAACCAGCTACAGACCCGCTTCCCTGACCCACGACCTTGCTCCACTTCTCAAGGGAACACACATGGGGCATCTCCCCGAGAGGTCCTGCCACAGCGGGAGGGGGAACCCCAAAAGTAGGAGCTCGTGCGCATGAGTCTCTGAGCAGCAGGACGTAAGGCTGCTGCCCTGCGGGTCCCTGAGCACAGCAAAGGTGGGGAGCATCTCCCCAAATGGCCTCTCCACTCACCTTGGACAGCTTCTGGAAATTCAGGCGCCCTAAACATCGGGTGGAAACACAACCTCTGGTCCCAGCCTGTGGGATGCAAGGCTCCTGACCCGTGCAAAGCCTGATCTGTGCTGCCCCAAGTCCCTACTCTCAGCCCTGGAGCAGGTCAGCGGGACTTGCCGGCGCTCTGCGACGTGGTTTTGAGGCCACCTGGCACGTAGTAGCCCCCAACACCACCAGCTTCAGCCACCCTGCGAGACCGCCTGGGAACACCCAACCAGTTCCTTACTGACAGAGACATTCCAGAGATTTCGGAGTAACGCTGCCCTCGAGAGCCCTCGATATCCAGGGTTTGGAAAACAACCAACCTTTCCTCCAGCAACACCCAAATAACGCTGGGCACGGGGCGAGCCGGGACGGGGGGTGACGGGAGCATCCTGCTGCGGCTGGGAGGGGGCTGCGGCGCGTCCCCCCAGATCCCCGCACCCCTTCGCCCCACGCGGAGGTCCACGAAAGGTGCCTTGTCATAGCCTTGTAATCGAAAAAGGGAAAGGGGGGGGGGGGGGGGCTACTGGTCCCCGCTGGTGGTGCCACGAAGGTGGGCGACCAACCCAGGAACGCCAGCTGGCCCAGCGCGGAGCCGGGACTGGTTTGCACGGGGCTCCCGGTGCTCGGGGCAAGGTGGGCAGCGCTCGCTGCCGCTCTCGCCTCGCCCCACGGAGGGGTGGGCAGGGGTGGGGGGGTGCGTGGGGGGTGCCGGCGCCCCTCACCGTAGATCATGGCGAGGCCGGTCTCGTGGAGGAAGCGGGCGCGGCGGTGCTTGAAGAGCCAGATGGTGAGGATGGTGAGGGTGAGCAGCAGGATGAAGACGAGCAGGTTGGCGCTGTCCTGCCGGTGGCTCTCCTCCGCCGCCTTCTCCGACACGATCTCCTCCTCCAGCGCCCCGGGGCGCCCCGCCACCACCTCCCCGCCCGCCGCCCCCCGTGCCCACAGCCCCGCCGCCGCCGCCAGCACCGGCCCCGGCCCCGCCATCGCCCCGGTACCGGCCCGGCCTCGCCGCCACCAGGAAGCGGCGCTGGGCGCAGGCGCTGCGGGGCGGGGACAGCGCGGCCGGGAGCCCGGATAGGGACGGGGCTGGGCGGGAGAGCCGCGCCGCCGGGCCGCGGGGGGATTTGCCACGGAGGAAAGGGGTTTTTTTTAATTTTTTATGAGGAGAAGAGCGGGGAGGGGGAAGGGGGGGAAAGGCGGCGCCTGGGGGCTCTTAAGGGGGCAAGCGTGTTGCAAGAGAGCAGAGAAAGGTTTGCGAGAGGAGAGGGTGCGTGGTTGTGAAGGGGAACGGGGCGGGGAGGGGGGGGGCGTGGAATCAGGCCGCAGGCTGCGAGAAAGCGGGGTGCTAAGGTGCAGTAAAAAAGGGGGTTGCAAGGGGGAAGGTGGTCAGGGTGCAAGGCAGTTTGCAAGAGGAGAGAAAGTTTAAAAAAAAAAAAAAAAAAAAAAAAAATTCCCGAACAGACTCGCTGCGAGGAAAAAGTTTGGCGCAGCTTGGCTTTTGCATGCGGGGGAGGGGGGTGTCGTGCGTGGGGTGCTGTGGAGGGGTGTGCTGCTGCCTGGCCCACGCTCCCTGGGGGGGGGCGGGGAACTGTGCGTGGGGACAGCAGCAGCCCACGCTGCGCCCCGCGGCCGGGGCGGGGATCGTGGAGGGATCCTCCCCACCGTGCCGAGGCGTGGGGTCCGGGTAAACTTCCCAACCGCGTTTACCAAGAAATCGGGGGGATTCGTGCAGCCCGTGGGGGCAAAGGCTGGAAGAAATGCCACAGTGGTCAGCGTAAAAGCGGTTTGTAGAAAACACCCTCCAAGAATTGCTTTTGTGCCCCTTCTCTTTGTGCCTTGGGGGTTCGGGAGCCCCACGGAGCTCGGGACAGTCGCGTTTCCTCGCTTTGTCCCCGGCTTTTCTCGGCCCGGGGCCGGGGGCGCGTGTTCCTGCACACGCCGTGCATCCCCTGACACGGTTTTTGCTTGCACGGGCTCCTCCACCTTTGAGGTTAAACACGTGGAAAGTGGGAATTACCCCGGAACACCCCCCTACAGACCCCCACGCTCTGCTTTCAGCCGGGAGGGAACACGCGTGGCCAGGGGCGCGGCGGCTCGCTTCTCCCTCCGCTGTCCCCCCCGGGGACCGGCCCCGCTGCCGCGCTGCGTTGTTGTTGTCCGTCCCGTGTTGCCCCCCTCCCCACCCCCCGATCCTTTTTGAGAGTTTCTCGCCGTCCCCGGTCCCGCGTGGGAAAGCGGCGGCGCGGCCACGCCCCCCGCCGCCCCAGCCCCGCCCCTCCCCGGGCGAGGCCGGGCCACGCCCCCCCCGCTGCGTGACGCCATCAGCGGGCGCCGGCGGGGCGAGCGGCGGGGATGATGGCGGCCGCCTCGGTGTGGAAGGGGCTGGTGGGGCTCGGCCTCTTCGCCCTGGCCCACGCGGCTTTCTCGGCGGCGCAGCGTGAGTGGGAGGGGGCGCTGCGGCGGGGGGAGGCCCGCCGGGACCCCCTCACCCCCGCCGGGGGGGCTCCGGGGCGGGGGCCGGGCCGCGGCACCACCACCACCATCATGATCCTCGGGGGGGGGGGCGGCCCGCTGCCCGCGGGTGGTCGGGGCTGACACGCGTCCAAAAGCTCCAGCGAGTTCTTGGGGGGGGGGAGTGGGGGGTGTGATTTGCGTGGCCGGTCTCTTTATTCGCTCACCCAGAGCGTTCGGGGCGCGTGTGTTTCTGTTTTGTAGATCGATCTTATATGAGATTAACAGAAAAGGAAGATGAGACGTTGCCCATAGATGTAAGTTTGAGGTTTTTTTACCGCGTTTGAAAGGTGTGACGTAAGTTTTTACAGCGTTTGCAAGGTGCAATGCTGCGTGGGTAGTTTAGTCTCTCTCGATTGCTTTTTTTTTTTTTTTTTTTAAATGCAATAGGCAAGAATAAAGGCTAAAATAGTTTTTAAATTGCGCTTTCACTCGGGCTCACTCTGTCAAACAGGACCGTATTTATATCTCAGCCTCCTGCAGCGTGTTGTATCTGGCAGAGAGAACAAGCCCCAGCTCCAGACCTCCCTCTCCTCCTTTAGAATGACCCTGAAGCATTTTGCGCTGGAATTCTCTGAGCGTAGCTTGGAGAGCTTTCGCATTTATCTCCTTCTTTGCGGCACAAACATTCTCCTCCCTCTGGCTTTTGTTGGCTGTCATTGGTTTATCCAGTGTGGCTGCGTGCCCGTTTGATCCCAGCACGACCTGCTTCAGGGAGGTTGTGGCTTTTTTATTTGTTTCATTTGCTCCTTTTTTTTAAAATTCCACTTCAATTACTATCTGTTCCGCTTTTGCTTAATCAGAAAGGGTGAGGAGATCAAATACCCCCCGGCAGCCCAGGCATGGCATTTGGAGCGAGCGGCAGGTGCCACCGCTGCACGGCGCGTGTGGGCAGCCAGCTCGTTTCTCGCAGGATCCTTAAGCACGCGAGGACGGGGTGTTTTGTCCTCAGGGTCCTGCCGAGGAGCCGCGTGGGCCGGTTCCATTTCCACAACACACGCCGGGTGCCGGGCAGCTGAGGCGCTGCGCAGCTCTGCCGCCGTTTTGCCGCGCCAAACAGGCGGGGTGTTTAATCTTCCCGTGCCTCGGTTTCCCTCCTGTTGAACCTTCCACCCCTGTAAAGCACTTTCTGTCACTGGATGACTGCTTGAAAGATGAGATTTTTTTGGATAAATATTAAGTAATGTGTGTGTTGCCTTGTGCTTCCCTCTGTTACAGATAGTTCTTCAGACTCTGTTAGCCTTTGCAGTCACCTGCTATGGGATAGTACATATCGCAGGAGAATTTAAAGACATGGATGCCACTTCAGAACTAAAAAATAAGTATGTTTTATTTCTTCTTTTCATAAACATCAGTATCTGCTACCCTCTGTACAAACTGAACAGCGTGAAGTAGCTTGCTCTTTAGCTCAGTTCTTCTTAAATGCATGTTGTAGACAGTAACACGGAGAGGAGCAGTCACACCTGGGAAAGCTGACAATGTCTTGAATCGCAGAGAGAGTTAGATAACCAGAACAAATTAAATAAACTTCTTGCCTTTTCTGATCCCAAATCCTGCTGTGCAGAGTTGGGAGAGGGATGAAATACCTACGTGGGAAATAAGAGCTCAGCAGTCACAAACTGCCGTCGTGAGACGGTCTCATAGACTGCTCGGCTCACCCTCTGCTTGCCTTTGTTTCTTTACAAGAGTCTGAATTATTTGAATTTCACCCTGAACTATTCAAGGCAGAATATCTGAAAGACTTTAAGAAAATGAGGGATTTTGAATCAAGGTTTTGAAAAGGATATGAAATGGGGTGGGCAGACGCCGCCTCTCTGGCTGTTTCCAAAAAGACAGGGGAGTGTGGTAAGCAAATGAGTTGGCACTGTTGGATTTCATAGCTTTTACCTAAAGCCCTTAGCTTCGGGTGCAGAAAGGGATGGAAAGCTGACAGTGAACAGCATCAAGGTATTAGCACGAGTGGCAGCTGAACTAAGGCTGGCACGTTTGGTACATGTGTGTGCAGTAATCCACAGGCTGCCCCCGTGCTCAGGGAAGGAAGGGGAAGTTTGTCTGTGGGGTGGACAGCCTCTGCCTGTTGAGCAGTCGATATTCTTCGTGCTTGGCTTTGTATTTCCTCCTGTGTTTTGGTTTAGGAAACTTATAAAGTGAGCAAGAGTTTTGGATTCAAAACTTGTATTTGCGTGTCTGCAAAAGTTGGTATACCCTAGACTGGCTCTTCTAAAACCCCTGTTCTAAAAGAGTATTAACATTGCCTTTTTACATTTATTTTGAAGGACGTTTGACACGTTAAGGAACCATCCGTCTTTTTATGTATTTAATCATCGTGGTAGAGTATTGTTCCAGTCCCCAGACACAGTGAATTCTTCTTCAAACCAAGATGCTTTGTCATCCAGCTCATCAATGAAATTTCGAAAACTTGAACCTCTGCGCCGCTAAGACTTTTACAGATTATAATAATAATCCAGGACACTGAGATGTAATATTCAAGTCGGGGATGTAAACACTTTTTTAATTTCTGGAGCAGTATTTATATTGATCTTCCAGACTTTATAAAGTATATATATATAAACTAAGGACCTTCTTTGTACACTGTTAATGAAAATGACTGAATTGTGAATTGGCAATGCAGTGTAAATTATTCTACAGTTATGCTGTGAAACACATCTTCAAATTTTCATATATTAAATTAAGTTGCAGCTGACTTAACTTCAGTTAAAACAAAAAGCAAGCTAGTTTTTACTGCAGTTAATGTTCTTTGACAAGAGAGAATGTTCGAGTGCTATTTATTTTCTCAGTTTGCTTGCACTACAGTTTGTGGAACTCCTTCAGAAATACTGTGTGCACTGCATCACTTACAACAGCAGAAAAAGGGGCAGCATCTCCTGTTCTTAGAACGCCTGGGAGACCTGCATGGTGTAGGCACGGGAAGCCAAAAGATCGCTTTCATTTTTATTTTTTTACAATGCTGAAAACCAGTTGTGTGAAGGGTTTGGTTTTGTTTGTTTGTTTGGTGGTTTGTTTTTGTTTGTTTTTTTTTTTTTCTCCTAGTTTTTCATTATCACGTTATTTCCTTGTTTCCCTCCTTCATTTAAATGTAAACTGTCCTGTGTTGCCCCAGGTTGCCTGGGATGTGGCTGTATGTTCAGTGCCTGTGTGGGGGAGGCAGCTCACGTCTGATCACGTAGATAATTACCACGTTCCGCTTGTTTACCCACTGTATTTATGTTCTCTTTGGTTGTGAACACGGGAATGTTCATCAGACGGCTGAATGCGGTGTTGGCACCAGATACAAGTTCCTGACTTACCTTCTATGAGAAGTATTAAAGTATCAGTAAGAAATACCCATTCTGGGGGTGGTCCAGCAGCCAGGTCTGGTTGCTGGCACCAGTACAGCACAGGTAATCAACCGGCCATGGTCCAACTATCCCCTTTTCTGCCAACAACCTTTCAATTTGATTTCTTTTTTTCCAGCTGAGTGCTTCGTTGATTTAAGATGACTGTCTTGATTTCATGTATTAGAACAGATGATACAGTCCTTAACTCTTACTGACGACTAAATTCTCATCTGCCCTTAGGGGCTGAATCAAGGCTAAAATTTCTCTTGGTCTGGCATTTCACCTACCTGACATAGCAAAGGGATGGTAGTTTGAGATACTGATGGGGCCAACTAGAATTTTGTCTCACTGCTGCTGTGGAAACTCAGCCTTTTGTCCTAGCATCTGGGGTTTTTTTTTGTTTGTTTGTTTTCTTAACAACTGTCAAAGGCAAAAAGCTTAGCAAAAATACTGTGTAAACCGAAGCCTCTTTTTCTAGCTCTGCCCGTCCTATGGAGTGGGTGCCCCAGTGCTGGAGCAATACCCATAGCTGCTGCTCTACAATGACTCTTAAGCATCTGGGTTTGGTTAGAAAGGGTTACTCTGCCAGCTGAAAGCGTCTGAGCTGCCAGATTGCTTCCTAAAGTGTCCTGGTTCCCCCCTGGCTGGTGTCACAAATCAGCTCCTGCCAGCTGCTCTCGCTAAAGGCCGCAAAAATAGTAAGTATCAGGTCAGCTCTCTACTGCAGAGAGAGCTCTTCCCCGGGGGGGTGGGGGGCGAGAGGGCTGCTGTGCGGCAGCCGCTGCGTGAAGGAAAGGGCTGAACGTCGGCCAGGTGACCTTGCGGGGCACAGAGGGGAGACAGCGGAGGGAGGGCGAGGCGAGGCAGGAGGTCAGGAACCGCCGCACCAGGCTGACAGCGCGGCCGTGGCTGGCAGCGAGCCGCCCGCGGAGGGTCTCTTGGAGCAGGGCTGCTCGCCCCGAGTGTCCGAGGAGCCCCCTCCGTGCCACCGTAAGGCTGCGCGGAGCTTCCCCGGGGGCGGCGGGACCGGGACCTGCTACAACTCCCCGGTGGTCGGCTGCGGCGGGGCTCTTCTCACGACGAGTAGCCTTACTCTTCAGCAGCAATGGTTATATTATCACAAAGCTGTACAAATTTTTTTTTTTTTTTTTTTTTTCTCATCGATCTCGCCACGCCCAATAAAAATTGATCTCCTTCAAGTGTTTGGGAGTGAGTTTGTTTATTTCTGACCGTCCCGGAGCCGGCTGCGGCAAATCCCTGCTGACGGAAGAGTTGAAAGCGGCTGCTGCGCATCGATGAGACGTGACTGCCTTAGTTAGGGCAGCTCTGCGTGGCGGGGCAGGCCTGGCCTGGCGTTCACTGCTGGGAGAGAAGATTGGTAGGGGGAATCAAAATAGCCTGCTATGAGTAGCTAAACAAAACATGTAGGAGGGAACTGTTACCGGCTTGGGGATCTGCCTGCTGTTGAGCTTCCTGGTCAATGTATCTGGCAGAGCTGACGCATTTTGCGTCTTCCATTTAACCACAGTAAAAGGCTTTTTTACCACGTGCTAATCCCCTGCTAACCCAGGGACAGGCTCCTGCAAGGTCTGGTATTGCAACAGTTGCTGGGGGAAGCGCTCTGCCTGCTCACGGGGCTGGAGATAGTTCAAATCTTGGACTTGCTCAAGATTGCTTTTCACTCGCTGTGCTGCTTTTCCGTGGGGGGAGGTTGAAAAGTTAAGCAAACTCCTCTAGCTCTTTGCTAACTACAGCATCCATCATGATTGCACCAGAGAGCAGCAGCCTCGCCCTGCGTCTGCTTACCGCGCTGCTGCAGCCACCTGCGTCCCCACGGACCATGAGGGTGTAAAAAAAAAAAGAAAAAAAAAAAAAAGTCAGGTTTTAAGGAAGGGGCACCTCAACCAGCTCCCAAAGCGACCTTGTGCTTACCTTGCAATGTGCAGTTCTTCAGAGATGAGCTTCCCTTCTTCAAAAGCAAAACAAAAGTTGTGCCAAGAGCTTCTTGGATGAGACTGAAGAGTTCCTGGCCTCGCCCCGTGCTCATTTACTGCCATCGTGCCTCGATTGCTTTGGCTACAGGATGTGATGTTTCTACTGCATTAAATACTTTAAAAAAAAAAAAGTGCTGATAATTTGCATTCATTGCTGGACTGGGAGGTTTCATCTACATTAATTTTGCTGGGGTTTTTTTGTTTTGTTTTTTTCTACTCTTCCTCACCAGCCAGCCAGAATTTGGGGGGGGGGGCATTTTTGTTTGTTTAAAGCTGAGGAGGGCACGAGCTGTTGAGACCATCACAAGGTGAGGAGACGGGGACTGCGGGGTCGTGTCAGAGATTCTTCGCTGCCGCTGCCCTTTCCGTACCCGAGGCCGGGGTGGAAGCGCAGCGGGCAGGAATCTTTTTCCCCCCAAGAGTTTGGCAAGGGCTGGCCCCGTGGCACCGCTTGTGAAAACGACTCCTGCCCTCGCGTGTCCCCTTCCACGTCCCGGCAGAGCCGGAGCCATCGCTGCAGCGCGGGGAAGCCGAGCGAGCGGCGGGTGAAGGAGGGGGAAGCCACCGGGCACTGGGTTTGGGCTTTCTTGGGAACGTTGGTGGCTCACGGCCCCTTCCCGGTGCTCTGCGGCACCAACGCAGCCCCCCCGGCCCCGCAGAAAGCAGGGAATTCCGATTACTTTCTAACTCTGAAATGATTTTTGGCTTCCCACGCTTCGCGCTGCAGCAGAGCCGCCCTGCCCCGTCCCCACCACCTTCAGAGCGAGGACGTTAGCTGCGGGGACATCCTCCAGATGTGTACAGGGGATCCCCCCACACACACCCCCCCAAAAAAAAAAAAAAAAAAAAAAAAAAGTGGCACCATTTCTCCTCCCTTTCGGGAGTCATCTGCACCAAAAGGCAGCAATTTTCCACCAGACGATTGGGAAAGGCCGAGGCTCACCCTGCAGCGACCGGGGCCCCGGTGCTGCCCCCCAGCTCCCTGTGGGCAGCCCCCCCAGACCCCCCCCCAGCTCTCCTTGTGCAGTTCCCTGCTGTCCCAGGCGGTTGGCAGGCTGCCTGCCCGCAGGGGAAGGGGGTAGAAAGGCTATTTTGAATGTTAAACGAGCAGCAAAAAAACTTTGGTAGCAGCTTTCCAGGGCCGGCACTAGCAGCAAAGGCAAACCACTCCTTTGATTTGGCCTTGATGTTCACCTTGAAGCTGTAATCACCTGGGGGAGAGCCACGGTGGAAATAAATCTGGTATTCCGGCAGGTAAGAGCCTTTTAATCAGCCCCGGGTTGGTCTCGGTGATACAATGTCATTTCAAAACACTTCGGACTGCAACAAAAGCTACATCCTTAAAATGGCAGCTAATTAATTTTCCTGTCCTGCTAACTTAATCCTTTTTCCAGCCAAGAAAGGCAAATGGGAGTTCACGAGGCAGCCGGGAGCCTGGCAGCGTGAGCAGGAACACAAGCCCCAGGGCTCCTTGGCAGGGGCCCAGGCTGTGCGGTGTCACGGTTTAGCAGGCTGTTTTAAAAGGAAGGGAGAGGGGAAAAAAAAAAAAAAAAAGTAATAATAAAAAAAAAAAAATAAAAGGTGACGTTTGGATTATCAAACCATTGGCTCATCCTGTGCTAGCAGTCCCGGGGAACCCACAGACCCCCATGGAGATAGACACGGCTATTCACTCTCAATTCATATCCCCAGTGTAACCCTGGCTGCCAGGCAGAGCACCCGTGCCCGGACTGGTGCTGGCTGAACCAGTTTCCCCAGGATTCGCCGGAGGAGGCATGCTGTGCTGCAGGAGGACTTCACTTTGGATTAAAGACAAAAAAAAAAAAAAAAAAAAAAATTCCCCCTCCTTCCCCGTGGTATTTCTGCTGTATATTTTAGGGAAGTCCAGGGCCAGCCACGCGAGGCCGGCGGTGACATCCTCCGAGCCCCAGGCTGCTCCAGCATCCCCTGTCCCCGGGAGGTCTCTGCTGCAGCGCAGGATGCAGGTAAAGCTCCCAAACGCTGAAGCAGCGATTTACTCCCTCGTCCTGGACGCGAAAGTGCACGGAACGAGCCACTTGCATCAAAAAGCAGTTTGGGAGGAGCCAGTCTGGCAGGTGCTCCCAAGAACAGCTCGCTCCCCCACGTCCACACAAAGCTGTCGCTCCCTCCCCGGAGCCTCCAAGGCACCCACAGGCCTGGGCTCAGCCCCCAGTGAGGGCAAATTCGCAGTAAGGCAGCACCTCCCCAGCCCAACTCAAAGCACGCGGCGGGGAGAGAAGGGGCCAAACAATCCCCACTCCTCCAAAACCACCACGCTGGTTCTGGTTTGCAGCCTCCCATCACGTGCAGATCTCTGCCCAGAGACCTTGGCCAGTTCCAGGTCGAAGCTGCCCCCGCTGCTGAGAAGCAGAAGCCGGCTGCTAATTCCTGTTTGAATTCAGCAGCTTCAGATCACGAAGGAAAAGGCACAGCAGAGCGAGAGCCCCAGGTTCATCTCGCGTGGGAGGGACCCCCATATCCTACGGGGTTCAGCAGGGCTGGTTAATAAAGCCAGGTCTACTGCAGCTACGGCCGTGGTGCTGCCTCAGGGTGGCCAGGGAGAGGACAACCTCTGAAACGGAGAGGCTGAGCTGTCCCCACAACCCGAAACGATGCCAACAGTGGTCAGGGGAGGTTTGCAAGGTCCTGCCCTGCCCTCCCCGCCTTTGCTTCTCGCGCTCAAGCGGTAACTGCAACGCTGGAAGGGGCCAGAGATGAGGCCCAGCCCCACCGCGTTCCGGGGAGCAGAGCAACGGGACGCTCCGCAGGGATCAGCCAAAGTGCAGGGGGAAGAGGAGAGTCACAGTCAGACGCGGTTCCAGAAAGAAGAAGAGTGGGCGTCCCACCAGCACGGCACCCACGCCAGCCAGGAGCAGGTCCCACCCTTCTGGGGAGCTCCCCACCCGCATGGCCCTGGCCCGAGGATGAACAGGGCATTTCATTGGCATTTTCAACCTCTTACTGGTTCCCCATCATGACAAAAGGAGTCCCCCTTTCATTCCTTTGCTTTCACAGCCCCTTCTCGCCACAGCAGAGCGGGCAGCCTGAGTCCCGGGGTGCAAGGCAGACGCTGGGAAGGGGAGCCTGCTCCGCTTACATCCACAGGAATCCAGGATTTGGCCACCTGGAACCCAGACAAAAACCAGCTTTCAGCTGCCCCGCGAGGTCAGAGCCTCCTCAGGGTCCTGTTGCGTGCGCTTCTGAGAAGAGCCATCACTCAAGCTTTTACTCAGCAACAGTCTCCCATCACAGCCCCGGCCGTGACTCGCCAGCAAACTGCCTTTCCTCGGGGGAATTCAGGTCCTGTTCCCAGGAATCGGTCTCGCCCCACTCCGCCGGCCGCCGGGACGGCCGCAGCGGCAGCTCGGTGAGCAGCCCTCCCCGCAGCCCTCCCCAGCCAGCCCCACACATTTTATTCCTGTTTTCTAACAAAAAAAAAAAAAAAGTCACTCCCACAGGAGGATTCACTGAACACGATGCACCCGAAACAGCCTCTTCCGGAGCTCGCCTGTCCCCCACTGTCTCCTTTTCCCTGAACGAGCATTTTTGACAGCGGTTTCTATGCTCTGTCTGCTTCTGGCGAGCAGAGGGAGGAGCCCTGAATCCAGGGACGCCAGCGGAATTTAAAAATGCACTTTTACACAGCTGAGAAGGAAAAGGCGCTGGAGCAGCTCAGGTCAGAAGCCAGAACTTGACTTTCAAAGAGAGGCAGTGCCACCGCCAAGTGCCTACAGGCTTGGGCAACTTCCCTGCAGCCCTCCTATCCCCCTCTTTCCAAGCTCCCACTTTTTTCCAGCCCCAGAAGCGCACTTCTAGCAAAAAGCAGTGGCAGGGAGCCCGTCATGTCCTCAGCCCCGCTCCCCCCGGGGCAGACCCAGGCTCGGAGAGCGCAGGGAGGAGCCCACCGACACACTCAAGAGGCCAGCAGCCAGCGTGTTGCTTTGTGGTGGGATTTTCAACACCAGGGAAACAATGCAGTGTACAAAACCAAATTAGGGCATGGATTTTATAATCATCTTCGCTAGTGACACACTATACAACCTTGGGTAAGTCCCTCCATCCATCTTTAAAGTTTCTCTCAGAGGAGTGCCACAAGACTTTAATTAGCAGCCCTAGAAGTACTCAAGATAGTTTGTCTCTTCCAAAATAACCAACTGCAGATGAACTGGAACAACCTTATTTTTGAAT